CGACCATCTCAGCGTTTAACGTTGCATAAAGGAGCTTTCCAAACAGTGCACTCGTTCCTCGTTTTGCTCCCGTGTCGGGCGTGCGTTGCGTTCATTGGTAAGTTCTTTTTTCTTGTAGTTTCTCGTGCGACAACACACTAATAACTTAGCTGTTTAGAATCTGGAAGAAGCTTCTGAAGCAAACACAGATATGTCAGTTTACGCTTCGATACAATACCACTTATTTTATCATCGCCTTACCATAAGATGAACACTTAGGTTCGACAGTCGAATTCGTTTTCACTCAGGATCTACCTCGAAATGCTTCCGCTTGCTGTAGAAAAAAAGACCGTTGTGACGGACTTAGTTTTTTAGACGCTACGTTCAGAATACTGTCGGTGGCTCCCTCTGCGCCACTTGATTTGACAATGAGTCGATCGGTATTTGCCTGGTTGTAAGCTCGGGTAAAGCTTTTGCAGCTTCGTGACAAAATGCGTGGAGCAAAGAGTTCCAGCACTTTTGGTTTTGGTATGCGGTGTACGACTTGCATCTTTCTTCGAGGAGTGATACTGTAAGCAGTAGCAACGCATCAATATTCAAGTATTTAGCTTTGATATGCGAAAACACCAGCAGGTATTCGTCTGCAACGTCACCAAACTATCGGATGAATGCATGAACAACATGTATTACACTCATTTATCGTCTCTCGCAAGCAAACCAAAAAGCACGTAGCAGAACAGCTTGTAGCGAACTTTCTCCAGCTCTGTTTCGGAAAGAGTCTTGATATTGGTTGTCACCGCATCTGCAAACGACAGATCATGGATAAGTAACGATCAAACCAATGCGCAACATACACGCCACAGTTAAAATCCATCGCGCTGGCGCCACGCCAATTGATAGTTAGTATTTTTGGGGAGAGGTACACGTTCTCGATCAACGTGGTCACTTTGGCTTTGTAGTCTTGTTTGTGAAAGGGGTCATATATCCCCACCAACCTCCTCTTCATGTCAAATACCGTTCCTCACCAGTGGGTGACGTCGACATTAATGTGGATTGGGCATAGTATCACCGTGCCCTCGTCACATTCGCTGAAAATGAAGTCATTTGTATCAACGATCCTGTTTCGTTGTTCTTCATACTTTAATGTAGCAAACGTGGGGTTAGCAACGTTACCTTCGGTGGTGGACTCCATGTCGCCTCTGCAGCGATACGAGTTGCTGCAGCAACCATACATTTGTCATTCAACCAACCTTGGTCACCAAATTGAGCGATTTCTGCAAATCCGACACATTGCCCGCCTGCATTGATAGAGCTTCACGTGCCCATAACGCGATATCTTTCAAATTTTGAGCACGTTCTTCTATCTCGTTTGGGTTATCAGGTTCAACACTTTTGACCCATGATATCAAGGATCTTGTCTTGGCAACAAGTTTTGAGCTTTCGTGCCAATCGCTCGTAATCTGGATATCTGTAGCACGAAATGTACCCACATTCAAAATCGCTACAGCAATGTTTGCGTTGGTGACTGGTATCTTGTCAGCTTCTGCACGAATTATCAGGTTTTTAATTGTGTGGTGAAGCGCCAGTTGGCTTTCACGAATAAGAAAACTGATTGATGGAAAATGACCCGATCCAGCCCTGAGACTCATGGTCGACGACGG